CAATTTTTTGTTCTGATTTCCGCGCAATAGTCTGGAGGGATTTCACGTTCGAACTTGCGGAGCTCGAGATGTTCGATTACTTTCACGAGAGTTTCATGCTCGTCGGGAAAAGAGTCTTTAAGGGAGGCCTTTGCATTTTTCACGACCCGCTGCAGTCACAAATTGAAATCACATATTTTTTCGGACTGATTGATGCCTCAAAAAAAAAGATCGCGACCGCAGCAAAGTTGCTGACGGTCACCAGTGTACCTGATCTGTCCGCGATGGAAGAAAGTGGAGCACGAATTTAATAGCCTTGTCCAATATGTAGCACATAATGTTTTGGGATAAAATGTCCCATGTGATGATGTGCTCCAGTCTCATCAGGTCGACCTGACGACCTTGCTCCTACAAAATGAGGAGCACGAATAATTCGAGTGGCGGATTTCGAAAACACATTTTTCGGTCTGATTGATGCCTCAAAAAAAAAATATGGCGACCGCAGCAAAGTTGCTGACGGTCACCAGTGTATCTGATCTGTCCATGATGGAAGGGAGTGGAGCACGTATTTAATAGCCTTGTCCAATGTGTAGCACATAATGTTTTGGGACAAAATGTCCCATGAGATAATGTGCTACAATCACATCAGGTCGACCTGAAGACCTTTCTCCTACAAAACGAGGAGCACGAATAATTTGAGTGGCGGATTTTGAAAACATTTTTTTTCGGACTCATTGATGCCTCAAAAAAAAGATGGCGACCGGAGCAAAGTTGCTGACGGTCACCAGTGTACCTGATTTGTCCACGATAGGAGGGATTGGAGCACGAATTTAATTGCCTTGCCCAATGTGTAGCACATAATTTTTGGGGACAAAGTGTCCCATGAGATGATGTGCTACAATCACATCAGGTCGACCTGAAGACCTTGCTCCTACAAAATGAGGAGCACGAATAATTCGAGTGGCGGATTTCGAAAACACATTTTTTTTTTGGACTCAATGGTGTCCCAAATAAAAAAATGGCGATCGCGGCAAAGTTTCTGACGGTTACCAGTATACCTAATTCCTTCATTATGATGAAAATTCAGGCACAAATCCATCGACATTGTTTTTTGTGTAGAAAGTTACATTGGAAACCATTTGGGTCACGTCATATACGTTTCGAGCACTACCGCTTGACGTGGGGGTATTTTCCAGCTACCGGATGGAGCACGAATATTTTCGGCGTCAACATTCGAAAACACGTTTTTTTTTCTTGGTATGATGTATCGAAACCAAAAAAAATGATAACGCCAGGGATATCTCATTTGCGACCTCAATTGTACCGTGGGAAGTCGATTCTTCTAATAGGCTCCATCTTTTCCATTATTTCGATCAATTATCTTGGAGCACATAAAAAACACATAATTGTAGTTCATAGTACGACGCTTTAATCACCAATATTATTTTAGTCACCCCTAATTGAATTTTCCCCTAGATAGGCAGTTTTCCTCATGCGGGCCTCTTTACCCCTGTTTCTGCGCCTTTTTCTTGGAGCACATAAAAAGCACATTTTCATGGCCTACTGTTTATAGCTATTACCATTAATCCTGGCTTTCAACACCTAAAAGAAATTTTCCCCTAGAAGGGCTATTTCTCCCAAATCAGCCCCCATCCTGCCTGTCCTCTCACAGTAACCGAAAGCACGTAAAAAGCACATAATTATGGCATAATTTTTTTTCGACCATCCCTTATTTTCCACCCCTTACCCCTAATTCCCGAAGGGATGGAGCAACATTTTTTTTGTTCGAGCACCAAAAAACGCATGAAAAGCACATAATTTTGACAAAAAAAACCCCCATGTTTTGACCTTGCTCCGCTAACTTTATGGACGTTCAAAATGGGCTAGGAAATCAGCCTGAAGTATTTTCTGATTTATAAGCTAATTTCCTGTGATGAGAAAATCATTAAAATCCCCATTTTTCCGGGAAATCCCATATGGGCTGGAAATTAGCTTATAAATCAGAAGATACTTCAGGCTGATTTCCTAGCCCATTTTGACAAATTGAGCGATTAAGTTTGACTTTTGGCCCAAAATAGTTGAGCAGAAAATTTTTGCTTCGCACAAAAAATTAGCTTATACATAGGTGATAATTCTGGGCCAGACAGCAGGCCTACGTAATGACCTTGGATGTGCCTATTTTCAAGCCCATATGAAATTTCCCGGAAAAATGGGGATTTTCATGATTTTCTCAACACAGGAAATTAGCTTATAAATCAGAAGATCCTTCAAGCTGATTTTCTAGCCCATTTTGACAAATTGAGCGATTAGGTAGACGCCCAAATCCTAGAGTTTAACTTTTGGCCCAAAATATTTGGACAGAAAATTTTTGCTTCGTGCAGAAAATTAGCTTATAAATAGCTGATAATTCTGGGCCAGACAGCAGGCTCATGTGATGACCTTGAATTTGCCCATTTTCCAGCCCATATGGGATTTCCCGGAAANAACTTTTGGCCCAAAATATTTGGACAGAAAATTTTTGCTTCGTGCAGAAAATTAGCTTATAAATAGCTGATAATTCTGGGCCAGACAGCAGGCTCATGTGATGACCTTGAATTTGCCCATTTTCCAGCCCATATGGGATTTCCCGGAAAAATTGGGATTTTCATGGTTTTCTCAACACAGGAAATTGGCTTATAAATCAAAAGATATCTCAGCGTGGTTTTCGGGCCAATTCTAATGACTTGGCCGCCTAACTTAACGCCCACATCCGAAAAATCGATTTTACGCCCAAAATATTTGAGCAGAAAATTTTTGGTTTGCACAGAAAAAAAGCTTATAAAAAGCATGTAATTTCGAGCTATTGACCGAGTCGATCCGAGCACCTTGGCTGCCTGACTTGACGGAGCTCAACTATTTATGAGAATAATGAATGAGAAATCGCATAGGACCCCGCTGAAACATGAAAATGGAAAGTGAAAGCATAAAGAGCATAGTTTGTACGAAGAATATATCACTATTTTTTCATTCATATAGTTTTTCGAACATAATAGATCTAACGGGTTATTACAGTACTATTTTAAACTCTTTTGTTCATTGTCTGATGAGAACGTCTGTGAGGTTCAGGGTCACCGTATAGACGATCCGTGAGCTGCTTTTGGTTCTTTCATTTTATTTTTTTCTACTACTTTTATTAAGGGTGCCAAGTGAAAATGTTTAATAAATCAGCAAAAATTCAATTTTTTTTCCTGTAATAGCGAGAAATATTAGAAAAATTTAGATGACAATCTTGACCTTTCAACCGGTATTAATTATTGAGAATTTAAATAAACAAAATTTGAAAATCCAGCATTGGCTCTTATGAGGTTATGCACTAAAATAAAAGATTGGCCAATTTAGAGATTCATGAAAAATCCCGAAAAATATGGAAAAAATGTAAAAAAAAAAGCTGAATCGATTGATCCAGGCGAAATCAGAGGAACCGGGGCAAATAAGAACGAAATCTTAATTTTTCGACTCACTTCCGGGGAAAAAAATCGCTCGTAGCAAAATGGATGATACGCGACAACAGCGTACACAGCTGGCCTACTCGGCTTGTACGCCCCCCGTCAACATAACCCTACCTGTCACTCACAATGGATGTTTTTTCAAAGTGAATTTTAGGATTTCAAACGTAATTATCAATCAATGAGACTCGAATGGTGTTTATAATTGAATTTTAAACGAATTGTGCGAAAGAACATTGGTCTCAGGATCTACTCATCTCGGGAAATCATTTCAATGGATCTTGTTATGGCTAACCAAATGTCCAACAAAATGTGTTTCTCGACATTTCCCTCTTAAAAAATTCATTAGATTGAATCTGGATATATTAATGAGTAGTAAAGAGAATAAAGGAATATTGGAGTCTGGGGGTGAGGGATGGGTGATTAAGAAAATAACGGTGTTTTCATTATCACCTAGCGTATCAAAGTTCTACTACACGCCGTCCGTGGAAAATGAAAGGTTCTTCCTTCGATTCTTCCTTCGGTTTTCTTGCTTCTGATTTTTTTGCACTTTTTTCAGTAATTTTTGTTGCTCATGATAATTTTGTACACCCTCTCGAGACCTGGTTTCACCAATTTTACATTTTTGAGAGATAAACTGTCCCCTTTTGTCACACAATAAATTTTTATTTTTGTCTGAAGCCATGGTTTGTTCACAGGCATGTATAACCTCCAACACACGTTCGAATATCAACAAACCCTCGCGCCTCTACCATCAGCTGACACCAGCGGCGTTGCCACGATTCCCACCGGATATCACCATTTAGTCAATAAACAAATATTTTTTGGTCGAAAAAATAAAAAGAAAATTTTACATGTATTACATCCCAACTCAATTTGAATATAAATTGGCGAGATGAATTAATCAAGTTAACACAATTTATTATGCAAGGTTTTTGAAAAAAATGATCAATTTAGTTGTGCACTTGACCCACTTAGCATCCTTAAGGGCACCACTCGATTGGTTCATTTCATCTAAACAACGATTACAGGAATGGATGAGGTACCAAAATCAAGCCTTCGAATTTTCATGTTAGCATTTGATTGATTTGAAAGATAAAAAAGTATTAATAATTTTACGTATGCATTTGACAACTCTTCAAACACTCGTCGATCAGTGCATGCTAAATTGAATAGAATCCTCACGGTGGTCTTTAGCTTACCCGTTTAGAATCTATTTAGTTTAAGGTAGTTCTTTTCATTCGCACGTTCGTAGAGTTTCTATTATTGTGGGAAAAATTATCTAAATCGCTGAAATTGATTTAACGGCTTGAGAAAAACGCTTGAAGGTTAGAATTGTTCTCTAGACCAGCACAAAAACGATGACATGATAGTTTCGACCAAGAAAATCAAATGCTTCAGATAATCAATTACAACAGGACATAAAAACATTTCGAAGATGGATTAGAAATATTCTATTGTATCAGCATGTTTCCAATTACAGAAATGTTTTCATGGTAGCTTTGAGAATAAAACACTAGTTAGGTTATTGTGTACCTCTGACGTTCTAGAAAATCCAGATTAGCACTTGTAAACGCTCAAAAATCACGTAGCGGTCGTTCTTCTGCAATCCGCAGTCAATATTATTCACCAGTACGGATTCAATGAAAATAAGAAATAATCACGACGAATGGCACTCAATTGTAATGAAATGTATGATGATCGTCAACGTCGACGATTCTGTATAAATGGGTTTCGTGACACACTAGTCCATACAATTGACCGAATTGACACTAAACGATTAAATCATGATTGTGCGAGTCGTTCGATTGCCTTATTGTACAATTAATGGTACATTGTACATTATGCTCTCAGAAACACCACTAAGCCGTCGTTCTTAATGTTTTGTCTTTTCTCGTCTATTAGTGGCCGGATAGTACGACCCCATACGAGAGATGGCGATACAATCGGTCGTCGGCAAAAATGAGTTGGAGCAGTGTAGCCAGGGCCCGGATCTTCAGCAGGGGCGGTATCATAGACATATAATAAATAGACTTCGGGTTCGAGTGGTGGGGGCGTCAGGAAAGAGAAGAAGAGCGCTATTTTGTCGCCGTTTTCTCTCTTTGTCGAATAGTCCCTAGAGTGGGGCAAGAACGGTCACGGAGTGCGGGATATATATTGGATATGGCTGCTGTGTTGACATTATTCGTATAGACCTTTTCATTCTGAGAGTCACTAGATTTGCGGACACTTTTTTCCCATGTTAATTCCCCTAGGATTTGCGGACACTTTATCGAATTTACATATAAATCATGGTTTTTGAGCGCTCAAGTGTATATCATTGTAAAGTTCAATATTTATCAGAATTTTCCATGGTTTTTTCGGAGATTTTTTCGTTGAATGAACGAAATAAATATTTCCCCTAGATTTCCAGAATGAAAAGGTCTATTCAAAACGTTGCATCAACGTCAAATATTTTTTGTTGACACTTGTTTTTTAATTAATTGTGAAATATTATACCTATAAAAATTCTTCTAAAGGAACAAAATGCCCCGCGAGATATTTTCTTTTTCACGAAAAATCTTCCCAAGCTATTCATAGAATTACTTTTTTTCTACAACGAATTTCATTGAATTAACGAGATATTTTGCACTTTCATTATGGTCTCAGCCCCAGTAAATAACGTCTACTTAAAAGTTCATTCTATTTTCAATTGATATTTATAATTTGATGATTATATGTTATATGTGTTCGATTAATTCACGAATATCATCGTGAAATATAAAAATATTATTGTGAAAACATCAAGTGCTGTTTGTTTCTCTCAATCCTCTGTCCCATCAACACAATCAATTATTTCAGCATAGAATTTTTTAGAGAATTCGCTAGGTCTTCCTATTGGATTTTTCCACACGTGTCAGCATTACGCTACTAACCTGAATCGGAAATAATGGGTCAACGGTAATAACGTCATTATTTCCAATTACCCTTTTTTCTTCCAATAGGATTTAAGGAGTTTTTTCCATCAGGGTTTTTACTGGGCGGCGAACTTAAAATTTAAAGACACGAAAAAAGTGAACCATGAAAAAATATAACGTGCAACAGCTTTTTTTAACAATTTTGGCACATCCAGCAAATTACAAAATTGTTACGACTAACTAGAGTGATGTTTGCAAAGCTTTGCTTTAACTTCTTCAACAATGTCTTAATTTTCTGCATTGATCAGAGCGGAAAAATTTCGAAAACTTAAATTCTAAACCATCTTTTGCAAACATTGAACCAGAATTCTATAGAATTTTCAAGCGTCAGTTACTTCGTAATTTCACTCATATTTTAGTACATAAAAAATGAACAGTAGCGAGTTAATTTCTCCCAACTTCAGACTTTAAATGATAATTGAGTCATTGTTATTTCAAACTATTACGGAAATTCGCATTCGTTAGATCTAGCATTTCGTTCACTCGTAGATGTTTGAAACTTTCCACGTTCCCGTTCTTTTCCCCTACACGTCATTTATAATCCACCAATCAATGACAACTATCCCCCTCACGGGCACCGTTCGACCGGTTGGGGCCAAGTTTGCCAAACTTCAAACGTCAGAATGTACGAAATGACGGACTAACAAAATGCCCTACGCTCTAAATGTTCGATTTTCAAAATGGATAGAATTCATCAATCCTCGATTGGGTGATTTGTCCGCAATTATTGATGTACTACGCAGTTTTCATCATACTTATTTGAGTACCAGATAAATCAATTGACCGAGACGGTGAATGATAGAAAATATATTTTCCCCTGTGGAAATATTCCAGAACTTGTGAATGTTCAACTATTCATTCACACGAATTTAAATATTCCATATACGATAGAATTACCGATGAACGACTGGTCCGATGGTTGAGAAAATTAGAAAATATCTTTGACCGCTAAGAGATTTTTGATATTTTTATTTCATCCACAAAAAGTAAGCATCCGAATATCCATATGCGGAAATTGTGTTCCACCGAAAGGGAGATGGCGCGATTGTTTGATACGCCCGAATGTAGATTAGTCGACAGTATTGTAGGTACACTGTAGATAAAATAGAAAACTTTATAAAACAGGGAAATAATTAATTTTCGGATAAAACCATTTTCTATTATTCGAGAATCATTTGAGATAGATTAGGACTGCCTTTTTACAGTTCAGAAACTAATATTCATGTATGTAATTACTCATTCTTTTTAGAGTATATATGAATTCTGCCTTACCAACAACGTTACCTACAATAACTCTATAATCTCTGACAATACTGTCGGACAAAACCACCGTATACTTGGCGAATAAATTACATATTTTTCAAAAATAATCAATGTAATAATTAGAAATGATTTGAAAAAATTTAGAAACGCTTTTTCATAACTTGGAAACGAATAGTTATTCAGTAATTAATAAAAAAAACTGTTGGACCGTATACTTGGCAAACATTGACCGAAATCAATAAAATTTCACTTTAATCGATGTAGAACAATTTGGAAATAATAGTGAGAATGTTTTTTTCATTTGGAAATGTAATATTGAATCGAAAATTAATAAAAAAGGAATGAAGTTATTATTGTTCAGGAGTCACGTGACCGAATCTTCCCCTTCCCATCACTTACCCCATTTACATATAAAAACAGTGAGGTTATGTCCCTCTCGCGAACCTGAATGTTCCCCTGTCACGTACCTTTAAACAATCTCCTGAAAATTATGAGTAAGTGGTTGAATGAAAAATTGACGACATTTAAAAACAAAATTACTGGACCCCTGATAAAACATGAAAGGATTTATAGAGAGGCAGACAGTGTCAGAGTGTTTCGTTGCTGAAATCTCTAAGCATCAGAAGCCCAAAGCCCCCAGGAAAGGAAAATCCATAGAGATGAAATACTAAAAAAAACCCTCCCAATTCCCTAAAATCAGAACTAAAAAAGCTGGCGAGATCTCCGAAAAATGAAGAGACAGATAACAGATAACTGGCAGGAGACGTTCGAGCTCACCAGTGGACGAAATGGACTGCCACAAAAGTGCTCGGACGAAAAAGCGAGTCTTTCAGATTTTCGATTCCAGTTGCTGCTAGATCTTGTGTTGATCAGTCAAACAAAGGATTAGGTGACATACGCAGCTATGGAGAGACTCCAAAATTATGGGTGAACTCCGGATCTTCTGATCAAGACTCCTGACAATGTTCTTAGGACATTAATTCATCCTGTTAGTTTTTATGAGATGAAGAAAATTATTCAAACCTTCTGAAAAGTTTGGAAAAGTAATGAGCTATTCGATCATTGTGAATAGTTTTCTGAAACTGTTGGTTTTAAAGGGAAATGTTAAAAAACATTTTTCAAAGACGTGAAATTCTCTACAAAAAATGTCACTTCATGAATTTTTTTTAAAGCTGTGTCTTTCATATATTTTGACAAAAGGAATATATCATCCTGTTTGGAAATGTTTTTGTGAACAAGATTTGATCCTAATTTTTTTCTAATTTTTTTCAGCCCGAAGTCCAGTATATTAAGAAAAATCTCTAAAGTCCTCCTTTGAGACCGCAAAGGTGACATTCCAGACACAATCGGAGGACTTTGCTCTTTTCGAAAAGTCACCCTGATCGATCAAACCCAGAGTTAACTCCGAGTCAACTCTGGGTTTATAGGGAAAACCCAGTGAAGGAAGAAAAAAAGTCTACGAAAGTTCCATTAACCCATAGTGAACCCAGTGTTAACTCTGGGTTTAATTCATCAGGGCGGTCTCAAGGTGGGCCACATCTGCATGCAAGTCCACTGCATCTGCAATCGTTTCAATTTGGTGGAGAGACAGGCGAAGACACCAGAGGGAATAAGGACGCAACTGGTGGAGTGGCCCCCCTAAGGATCGCTGGACTGAGATCAATTACCTGCTGGTTGGTTTCGGTTAGGAGATCTGTCTCCTTGAGCATCCTCAATGTGGACAGCGTCCCACAAAAAATCTTTTGCTCTTTTCCCCTGATAACACTCAAAATAATTGGGACACTGAACAGGATAAAAAAAATTCTTAATGTTCTATCACTTCCCACCACTTCTCTTCTGAAAGTCGATGCATGATCCATAATTTTCGAATATCGTTTATCAATCATGCTGTTCTACTCGAGATTCAACAAATAATAATTGATTCGTAGCGTAAAATATTAATGTTGAATGAATAATGAAAAAGAACACTTGATATGAAATGATTTTATTTACAAAATAAAGTACAGATTTTTCTATTAATTTCTATTGTTAGTTTCTTTTTGGTCTGACCCTTGATTTTGTTCATAGGTCTCTCCTGCTTAAACTGCGCCTTCTTCGTCAATTTTTTTCTGCTGTTATTTGTTTTACTCCAACCAATCCTCCAATTTAGCTGAAAAGTCGAATGATTTCGTGAAATTTTGAGTTTGGGGAGAGGCTTTTTTTCGGTAAGGTGAGACAGAATTTTTCGTTGAGATTCATGAGGAATTGATGAAAAGAAATGGAATTAAAACAATTTTATCCCATGTTTTTTGGAATATCTTCGAAATTAGAGGGTTCAGAGACAATGTCGAAGTATATTCTGTGGAGGTCATTACATTTTCTATAAAAAAGGTCTTCTGACATTTTGTTCTAAAATCACTCGTAATCGAGATAATTCAAATATTTCTGAAGGTTGATGAATTAGAAAAAATTAAAGAAAAATCGATTATATGTTCTCCTAAAGTTACTGATTATCAACATAATTTAATCATCTATAAATGTTTTCGACAAAGAATGGCGATGAAAATTCGTAAATATCTATTGGAGGTACTCAAATAATCCTGGAATATCGTCCCCACTAGCTGTAGCAAGCGTGAGCAGAAGACTTTGAAGTCATTGAAGACTTTCCTATTACCCGGAAAGCCTCGTTAATGGCTGCTTATTTCGCATTATTCGGCATTCACAATTAGAAAAATATTCCTCTCATTATCAGTTAGCTACACTGTTGATGATACTTAAATATCAACATTTCATTTGATTTCCTTTCCTCCATTGTCTATTCAGGTTTAAAAGTAATAAATTGAATGATTATGAAATTCTAATTGAGAAAGAAAAAAAACTTTAATTGACAAAGAAAAAAAGGAATTTCGAATAATGTGCCCATTGAGCATTTTTTTTGAATTGAAAATTTGTAGTGAATCGGCAAACTAGGATAATTACTACGCATCTAGGGTCCGTTGTCGGTGGATATCTCGTGAGTGGGGACAGTTAAGAAAAATTCCATGGAATTTTTTTTGTAGAGCGAAATGTGAGCTAAAAAAATCATATGAAAATTTTGCTATTTCTCCTCATGTAGAAGATATTCATCACAGTGAAACCACCTCGGTAATCTACAAAAAAAAAATTTATTCAGACGGGCATGGAGCCTCATATCATGGACTAGATAACGAAAAAAAAGTTCGTCAGTCGGTGGCAGACAACTTTTATGGCGATTTTGTTGTAATCTTTGGCTTTGCTTCGGACTCTACTATATAATTATTATAAAAAATACATCCTATGACCATCAATACTCTCCCCCGATGGGGAGGGCGTTGTGGATGACTGCATTTTTTGTCAGCTCTTGGAGCCATGGGCATTCCCAAAACTCTTCGTTTCCCTCTGAAGCTCCTGAGAGGTGGAGTTCAATCTCGGCATTCTCTCAGGTGATTTTTGTGTGAAAACTTGGACCCCCGAACTATTGGCTACAAAAACTTCAATTCTCAGTGAACCTCGAGTGTTTTCAGCTAATTCGACTTTAGAGATTTTTCTTAATATACTGGACTTCGGGCTGAAAAAAATTAGGATCAAATCTTGTTCACAAAAACATTTCCAAACAGGATGATATATTCCTTTTGTCAAAATATATGAGACACAGCGTTAAAAAAAATTCATGAAGTGACATTTTTTGTAGAGAATTTCACGTCTTTGAAAAATGTTTTTTTAACATTTTCCTTTAAAACCAACAGTTTCAGAAAACTATTCACAATGATCGAATAGCTCATTACTTTTCCAAACTTTTCAGAAGGTTTGAATAATTTTCTTCATTTCATAAAAACTAACAGGATGAATTAATTTCCTAAGAACATTGTCAGGAGTCTTGATCAGAAGATCCGGAGGACACCCATAATTTTGGAGTCTCTCCATACCTGCGTATGTCACCTAATCCTTTGTTTGACTGATCAACACAAGATCTAGCAGCAACTGGAATCGAAAATCTGAAAGACTCGCTTTTTCGTCCGAGCACTTTTGTGGCAGCCCATTTCGTCCACTGGAGAGCTCGAACGTCTCCTGCCAGTTATCTGTTATCTGTCTCTTCATTTTTCGGAGATTTCGCCAGCTTTTTTAGTTCTGATTTTAGGGAATTGGAAGGATTTTTTTTAGTATTTCATCTCCATGGATTTTCCATTCCTGGGGGCTTTGGGCTTCTGATGCTTAGAGATTTCAGCAACGAAACACTCCGACACTGTCTGCCTCTCTATAAATCCTTTCATGTTTTATCAGGGGTCCAGTGATTTTGTTTTTAAATGTCGTCAATTTTTCATTCAACCACTTACTCATAATTTTCAGGAGATTGTTTAAAGGTACGTGACAGAGGAACATTCAGGTTCGTGAGAGGGACATAACCACACTTTTTTTATATGTAAATGGGGCAAGTGATGTGAAGGGGGATGACTCGGTCACGTGACTCCTGAACAATAATAACTTCATTCCTTTTTTGGTGTGACTATTGGCACCAATACGGGTGATGCACGGGAGACACGGGTCGTACGGCTAATCTACGGGTTACCCGTAGGATTTACCTAAAACCACGGGGTAAAAATTTCTCTTACAGGTTATTCTATGGGGCAAAAATGACTGGTGCTGAATTAACTGAACGAATTCAAATTATCTTGTCAAATTGTCTACGGGTGTGTACGGGACGCACCCGTACAGATCCGTAGTTCTTGGAAATTTGCAGATTTTAGATTATACAAGTGTGTAAATTGAAGTGCCACTGTCGTTTGTCGAATTTCCGATAAATGAGAAATTATCGATTCATACGGGTCACGCCCCTTTGGGTCTATGCACTGTTAGGACTTTACTATTGAAATTTCAAATAAAAAATTTTGAAATTTTCAAAAAATCAGTCAATTTGTGGAATCTTCAATGAAATTCCAATTTTCAGGTTCAGACGACAATGAAAATTATTAAAAACTACGGAAATTCAGGGGACTATTGTTCTGAATTCTGCACCTATTCATAAGTCAATTGAATTTAATGTCCAATTTTCACAATGAATTTGAAAATTTAAGGTGTCATTGAAATCTCAATGTTCGCCTAACATGAGAAAACTCCCTCTTGTTGAATTTCAACGATAAATAGGAAATGTTATGGATAATTTGATCTTCAACCGAATTCCAATTCACAAAATTGAAAATTCACATGCATCAGTCACTTCAATTTCAAAAACTTTTTAACAGTGTGGTTTTGGAAAATTAATAAATGTCAGCAAAAGAAATGTGCAAGTTAGAACACAACATTTTTATTATTGAATAAATAAAAAAGAATTTACCAAAGGTAGGTAAGTAATAAAATTATACAATGAAAAATGGTAATAAACTTATTGATAAAATGATATATTTTTATTCAAGCTATACAACTATGATGATCATCTCCTCCCACTCTTACAGTTTGGGAAAATCCATTGATTTTTCTTTGGGTGGCATTGCAGAGAAGTACATTTGAAATCATATATAAGTAAACAGCTCTGACACTCAATGCAGTCTTGTTCTAAACTTATTTTACAAATTTCATAAAGCAATGTCACTGATTTCTTTTTTGCTATCATATCTTTCAATGCTAAAAATGCCTCGTTATTAAAATAGTTTTCCATGTCATTAATTAAATCTGGGGAGATGTGATGACTGGCAAATGAATCTCTTAACGATGATTCAGTAGTGTCACATATGTCGCCAATTTCGATTTGATAATCTCCACATAAGACGTCGTCTACTGGGCAACTAGCTAACAATACCCACATCAAAACTTGTCGTTGTTTCTGTTCACTTGTCAGGTCTGCAAATTTATAATCCATTTTCCGTCGCGATTTAAATTTAAGAGTGTTCCCAGATGTACCAGAAGGACGACCACGAATTCTAATTGGAGGCGGCATGATGATATTATCAAGATTCGAGGCTGCATCTTCTCGTGACTTATCTACATTACACTCTGAAAGTGAAAGATTTTGTAAGTCATCTTCGAGAGTTTCATTCTCTTGTGTAGTGTGATGATTGTTATTTACCTCAGGACGAGTGATTTTCACTTCAACATCTTGACCCTTCCTCAATGCTGCCACAATTTCCAACAACATCACACGATGCATCTCGAAACGTGCTCCAGTTGCTAAACTTGTAACGTTGACGATTTCGTCAGTGAGTCTCTTCAGTTCTTTACGTCTTCCACTGAGGGTTGAGTACATTTTCCGTGGAATTCGTTGAACTGCGACTTTAAACGAGGAATTAGTAGGGGGAGAGGTGCTTGATGGCGTACTCGATAGTGCAGTTGAACGGTGCGCCCGGTGATTTTTCTTCACAAAATCTTTTGAGCACATTGGAGCACATAATTCGAGATCAAACAAAGGTAGTTGAAAGTGATTCCGTACTATAAAAATGTGCATACACGGCAGTGCGTAGGATTTACGAAAAGCACAAATACACGAATCCGGAGTAGCTACGAAAGTCTGTCCATAGTTTTTGATAATTACTTCTCGGGTTTCTTCGTTGATTTGTTGAAGAGTAACTTTCTCTTGGGCAATATTCTCTTTCTTGGTCAACTGCTTATAAACTTCAACGGTTGCCATACTGGTTAAATGATTTGCGTACTCCTCCTGAACACTACCAAGCGGAAATAGTGATCACCGACGTTTCAAATTTCTTATTGCCTCTCTCATATCAGTTTCTTGTGTTGGGGACTTGAGAAGTGAAAAAAAAATTACTGGCGAATCCGCAGAGCGTATCCCTGGCATCACAGAGGCTTTGGATTTGAGTATTCATGCTTTCCAGACGATTGTTCGTTCTATTGCCCAAAGTCCCGTCTGTCACACTGTAGGCTGTCCACTCGTGGCGACAACGATGCCAAGAGTCGTTCAAATAATCAACAGCTTCTTGAGGCGCGATCTTCACGAAGTCAGAATGTAATTTGTCGTACCTCTGTGCACTTGTACTGTAAGCCATACGCTCAAATGTCTGCAAACAATACTCCTCCACTTCTGCAGTGAATTTCTTAGCTTTTATCGTAAGGCTGAACGCTTTCAGAACGTGCCATAAGCAGAGATAGAAAGGCACCTTGAAAACCGTCTTGAATGCTTGACGTTCTGTAAGGTCTTTATCAGTCATAAAGCACTTCACCGCCTTGCAGGCACTACGATGTTGTTTCTCAAAACTGCGAGCGAGCCACCCCAGTATCGATTCAGATTCAGATGCTACAATTCCTGCACCGACGATTTTTGCTCTGCCTTCCGAATCCTGTACTTGAAAAACTATGAGAGTGAAGTCTAAATTAAATAATTTGTGTGTCCCATCTAAGAACAAAATCGACGCCGATGCATTCATTGATACTCTCATGTCCGCGGTTGTCATGAACAATCCCTCGAATCTGTTGTCGTTGTCTCCTAGTATATCAACTGTGCAGCCTGTGATGATAAATCAATACATTGAGATTACTCAGTAAAATCATTCACTAAAAAAATAATATATATTATCTGATATATATTATTTTATATATAGATAATGAAATACACATTCGTACCATATTTGTCTCAAAGTAAGTCCACAAATATGCGAAGATTATTTCCATCAGCTTTTTTGTTTCTGCCTTTAAATTACAAATATCATGTTGCAGAAGATATTTATTTGATTTTTGAGCAAGGGAATTTTTAACCAATTTGTTATTGGCCCCTAAGGTGAAGAGTTCCTTGACACTCTCCTTCGTATTCGGCGACAATCGACGATTTTCCGTGATAGCAAATGTAAATCGCTGTAAAAAAGACAATCAATCAATTTCGGAAAGTTAAAACGTAAATTTAAAAGAAACGTGCGTTTGTTTGATGTCTGGGATCATGAATTAAGGTATTGATATCGCGCGAGGTACTTTTTTGAGAACTTTTTTAATTTTGCTCAAATGTAGATCATGCAAAAACAAACAACATTTCCCCATGAGCAAAATTGATCGGATGAGTGGTAAAGATCTCGAAAACTGTTCTCAAGATTTCCTGTAAAAAAATAATAATAATAGCTCGGACTTTGAGTCAAATTTTGAGATCTGGAATTACAATTTCTGAATGGTAGCTATTAATTTTAACAATTGTTGTTAATAATTTAATAACCTAATAACAGTTTAATTCGTTTTTCTTTCAATAGAAAAATATTTTATTAATTAATCAACAATTTATTTTTTCAATTAAAATTCCTCGGCATAGTTTTCATAGAAAAAATCTCAACAAAATAAATTACATAGCAAAATCAAAATCTATGATATTTTTTCTTTTAAATATTTTTCTCTCGAATATTCCTATTAAAAAAAACGCGCGTAGAAGTTGCGGAATCTTTAAGAGAAATTGGCATAAAACCAATAGAATTCTCTAGTGGATGCGTGGGATTTTATCTTGAATTTTGTCATACATGAAGAAATCCGGATGAACAAAAAACGAGTCATTCGATGAGTGCAAATGAAGTACGGGCTCAGTTTAGGTGATGAATTATAGGTGAAAGAGAATGCCACCAAAACAAGTTTTGTATCAAATGGCACGAAACCCATCATATACTCACACCAGTGTCTTCATGATTTTCATGATTTAAGTTCATTCCGCGAGTTTCCAAGCAACTCTTGTCCTTTCTCGGCAATCTGAAGTGAATAACAGCCGGATATTGATGATCATACGTGCTGAAAATAGAAGACAAAGTCATGCGACCATGGAATCAATTGTTTTGCGAAAAATTGATGCAATGCAACGAGTTTTTTGCCATTTTTCTATATTACCTCGTGGATCGAACTGTAGCTTCTAATTGTTTCTTTTCACTAAACTTGCAAACGAAAAAGATGTAAGTGTATATCAGATGAGGATTCACTGCATCGGAGTTTTTTAGATAAGAACTTTCAATTTTTTCGGAACGTCCCCGCACAAACACCTGATTTTCTTTCGCCCCATATTCATCAACGAATTTCTTCACATCAAGGTAAGAAAGGAATTTTAATCCCAAAGTTGGGGTGGTTGTTTTTTCTTCCATCATTTAGCGTCGCTACAGTTCAACTTAACTAGTTACTAGTAATGAGTGGGTGAATTTATTATGTTATGTTGGAGAGAAGATTTTGAACTGGCTATTCAAATGAGGAAAAGTGTGCTCGAGCGAAAATTATGCGAGTGGGGTAGCGATTTAAGAGAGGGAAGATTTGGGGTCTTCCCGAAATGTGATTGGACGGAAAATGAGGAAGTGGGATCAAGAGGGCCTTGATTCTTATTGATAAAATGATATATTTTTATTCAAGCTATACAACTATGATGATCATCTCCTCCCACTCTTACAGTTTGGGAAAATCCATTGATTTTTCTTTGGGTGGCATTGCAGAGAAGTACATTTGAAATCATATATAAGTAAACAGCTCTGACACTCAATGCAGTCTTGTTCTAAACTTA